AAAAGAAACAAAACAAAAAAAACAATATGCTGACTCTGTAAACCACTTAGAGAGGGCTGAAAGCCCTATGAAGCGGTATACAAATCTAACTGCTATTGCTATTGCTAACTGGTTCTATCCTCGGGGCCGCCATCTTGATTTTCTGTTCTGCGCATGCGCAGAACAATCTTCATTGAAAAAATGTAATTTTGTTTCCTTTTCTAATGTTTTGTGCTTGCACAAATTTCTTCGTGCCAAACCAGTAGTAAGGCCGGCAGGAACCCACCCCTGCTCCATGCAACCCCTTCATCATGCCAGGTAAGTGCAGGGCCTGCATGGAAGTTCGGGGAAGGGGGAAAGCGGGTTTACTGGAGGTTCTGGAAGTCCATAAACAGGCTTGTTTCCAGTCTCCAGAAAGCCTCCGGAGCCTGGGGAAGCAGTTTTTGCCCTCCCGGAGGCTCGATAAAAACCTCCGGAGCCTGGAGAGGGGGAAAAATGTTGCCGCACACCGTGGTGCAGGAGGCCAACTAGGCCACCCCCACCATGGCTATGCTCACCCAGCAACCGGGCAGAGAACCCGTTGCTGAAATTTTTGAAGCCCACTCTTTCCTGAAGACAATAGTGTAGATCATCTGAACAATGGACATTTGACTCAGAAACAAAATGGAGAGGCAAAGCAGCAGGTGGCCTGTAGTTAGCATCCAGAAACACTCACCTGTGCATTCGGTGTTGTAGATCTTCTCCTCCTGGGGCTTGGCTTTACGCTTCCCTGAGGTTCCTGGTGGTCCCTGAGGCCCTGGTGGTCCCTGAGGCCCTGGGGGGCCAGGAGGTCCTGGAGGACCAGGATCCCCTTTCTCACCTACGGTAGAAGCACCAATCAAAAATGGTGAGAGAGAATTACTCTTCCGGAGAGGAAGGTCAAGGTCACTCGGTAAATGTTGTTGCTCTACTCATCTCCTCTTCCCTCCTCCATCCAGAATGCATCAGAACCAATCAACAACAACAAGGTGGACATCTCCACCATTAGGGCTCTCTTGAGGTCATCTCTGCCACCACATGAGTCATCTGAAAGCAGTGGACTCTAGGGCAACTCCACCTTGTGAACATGGAAACTTCTTCAGAATAGAATGGAGTGGAGTGGAATGGAGTGGAGTAGAGGAAAGGAGAAGAGAAGACATATAGAATGGAATGGAATATAGAAGAGTAGAGTAGAGTAGAGTAGAGTAGAGTAGAGTAGAGTAGAGTAGAGTAGAGTAGAGTAGAGTAGAGTAGAAGAGAAGACACACAGAATGGAATGGAATATAGAATACAGAAGAGTAGAGCAGAGCAGAGCAGAGTAGTAGAGAAGAGAAGAGAATGGAATGGAATGGAATATAGAAGAGTAGAGTAGAGTAGAGTAGAGTAGAGTAGAGTAGAGTAGAGTAGAGTAGAGTAGAGTAGAGTAGA